GTGACGGCGATAGGCCTACCTGCACTAGAACGTACCGTTTACTATATCGTAGCGCCAGCACATTGCTATCAAGGTTGCCCCGGGGCTAAGAAGGGCTGTACTCGCAGGGATGTTAAAGTAATATAGACGTACATATATTGTGGTTACTGTCCTAAACGGGGACTTTATGAGGTCTGGGGTTGTAGTCGATGCCATTGACACGGATATCACGGGGGGGGAATTGTGACTGCATTAGGTCTGAACATCAACATTTGCTCCAGTTACATTTTCAGTTAACCATGGGCGCCTGCCAACGAGAAAATTCCACATTCACCTTTATACTTCTTTAGTCTATTTGGCAAACCTTTGTAATATTATTGCTTTCCGCTACAGTGGATTTCTTCAATAACATTGTTCTTTTCCGAGTGACTTCATCTGCGAACGCAATATGTCACTTTATGAACCCTTTGTTAGTACCGACCAAAATCATTAAGCCTCTAGTCTTATTTAGCACTCAAGGTTATATGCTCAACTACCTTTACCTCTTTTTGTCCTTTTTAATTATATTCATGAAGATTTAATCGAGTAAAAGGATTTCAGTCCTCTCCGTTTTAAGCAATTTCTTGCCTGCTAGCTTTTTAGTCGGGAACGAATCACTTCTTATGATGTACTTTCAAGTGCATCCCAGCTAAGAGACTGTTAGAATGTTTAACACATGGAAATGTCCAGAAGTCTTCAATTTATCTCTAATCGGCTAGCATTCCATAAATAAATACAAAGTCCACAGGCAATATTTAACCATACAGGATGTTTATCTTAAAGTAATAGTGCTTGGGACATCATTTTTCGGTAGCGAAGATGGACTTAATTTGAGGTTTTTACTAACTTTTCTCTTATCTTCGAATGAATTTTGGCCTTTATGTTTTATTTTAATTACGAATCTTTACCCTTAAGCATTCTGCAGGCGCCCAACCATGTCCATAGCCACTCTGGAGGAACTTGTCACTTCGGGTCTGCATAAGGAATTTCCGGAGGTGTTTCTCGAAGATGCACTAAATTTGTTTCAGAGCGCTTCTCCCTTCGACGATCTTACCTCATCTGTCAAAGTATTTCCCAGCTCTATTGATGGATATCACACCTCCCTCCTTATTTTGTCCAAATATTCCGATAAGCTTTTGGCTGTCATGAGCCAGCTTCAGTCGATACAGCGGACTTTTGAATTACTTCAAGACGTATTTAAACACAGCTTGCCTGAAGAGGGGCCGCATTTCCAACTAGCAGCTATCGCCGCCGTCTTCCCGACCAATATCAGGACCGCTTTGAAGCCCTTTCTTAAAGCTTATCTTCTGCTAGAACTACTCGATTCAGAGCAGTCTAACCCAGCTCATAACCTATTTGAAGAACCACCATCCTGTTCTCTGCAAGAGCATACCGCACACCTGGAACTTGGCAGGCATGTATTTGCAGCAAACGCACGCCTTTCGCTGAAATTTCTCCTACGCGATCTTTGGCTGCCTTTTCTGAAGTCCACCTTCTACCACCGGACGACTGACCTTATATCAGGCGTTTTCACCGAGTCTTTCGTTCAGCGTCTACAGGAATATTTAGAATTTGTCGTTGTTAAGGGCTGGTTGCGCAATATCGGAGTTAAGATCGAATCCCCGTCCACTGCTCTACCTCCCAACTTGCTTTTTGAAACTTATTATGCTGTTCGAAGGCAAGAACTCTTCTCCATAATGATTGAGTATCCCGAGTCACATCCTTGCCTGCTCGACCTGAGACTGTGCTTTCAAAATGCGAAACTGCTCCAAGACCTGATTGACGAACTTGGCCACGAAGTATGTTTTCTTTTGGGAAAAATTGTGAAAATTCCCCATCTATGCTCGTCGAAAGCAGAATATTTTCTTCTTTTCCTTACATGTATTGCGGAAGTCCACATATCTCATAATTGGGATAATTCACGTGTAGTTCTCGCCCTTCGTGTCACGGCAAAATGGTTAATTGTGGGATGCTAGATAACAAAAGTTGATTTTAAATCTACACTGTCTTAAAAATAAACTTTAATTGTATTCTTCCAGTAAAATTTTGAAAATAAGAGGCTGTAATCGGCGTAACATTGATTGCATTTTTCCGGACTTTTCTACTCACACATGTGCCTACCATCAGGGTCATTTCAAAAGCATTACATTATAGGCCGTGTGCTTTTTGACTTCTCACTACATATTGATTGCGTCCATCTGTCAGGGAACAAAATCCATATTTCGATTTCCGAAGTTACTTTCAGGGACCCAGACCTACAGCCGTTCTCGTCTATTCTTATTGCCGAGCCGCTCCGTTATCCGTTTGTCCACGAGGTCCCATTCTTGGTCCTCCTCCCGAATATGGATAGCGACTTGGAACAGCAGGTCACCTCTCCGAACTACCTGTTTATGCTTGTATACTTTGAACTAAGTCGTAATACCATCTGGATTGTATACTGCTAGAGATACGAGAGGTTGTACCAGATTCCCCACTTTCATCCGGCTGATCTTTCATGCGCACGGCAGATGTCGGACGATGCGTGATATATACACGAAAATACGTGGCAGCGTGTTCCGTCGCCCCTGTTGCTTGTGTATATGCCGCTGAGAATCCTAAAGCGTTGATGACGCTCTTCTGTTTGCGTCCTGTGAACGCGTACGGGCTCAACGACTGATAAAGTTTCATAGGCCAATTGTTGGTCCTGTGGGTGCCGGAGGTTCTGTAGTCGTTTCCGCAGGT